AACACTCTCCATGGCAGCACAGCTTAAATACGACTCCCCCTCCCTCCTCTTTTTCAGGCGGGCCGGCGTTCTGAATCTACCTTTACTACGCCACCCCGATTTAAGAGAGAGAGACACAGAAAAGCTCATCCGACGGTGTGCATTGTGCAAGCCTCCGCGCTTCCACCATCGTCGTCACTCTCAACATTAGTTGCGTCCCCTGTTTCTTCCCATCTTTGCAGGTTTCCGCCGCTTCATCTCTGTTTCTTCCCCTTCTACCTCCCGCATTTTGTGCATTGTTTTTTTCGTTTGTTCGCATTCCGACAATCGTTCTTAATCGATCTTCTTTCCGCCATCGGAAATCTGATATCCAAGATCCAGGGCAGGGACGCCGATTTCGTTTCTCAGATTCTCCTCGCGACGGAGGGGGGTTTTCCGATCCCCTGCCGTCAATTCTTCATCTGCTCTCAGCTTGTCATTCGATTCGATTTTGGATTGCTCTTGCCTTTCATGCGATCAAATCTGAGATTTCCTTCCGTAACCTCTCTTTTGATTGTTGAAAAAAAATTTCCCCCCTTTGCATGTCTAGGAATGAGCTGTTTATATGATAATCTATCCATCTCTACCCTATTTCATAGCCCGACTCTGGCTTTTCTAGCTCTGCTGGTGTCGCCGGAGACTTTTTACCGATTCCGGCTGAACGGAAAGCGCAATGCATGATTCTTTTAATCAAAGAATCTCGATTGCTCATGTTCACGCTTTCCCCGGGGATATCTCGTCGGTTTCACTCGTGGAACGGTACAATTGCTGAATCGGTCCCCAACCCTATCATCTCGCTTTTTTTTTGCGAAGTGCATTTTGGAAATGCTATCTCCTCCACTTGCAGGTAGGTAAAAGAAAAGTAAACAGAAACAAAAATAAAATACTTTTGACAGCCATATGCTCCATCCCGTTTCTCCTTTTGGGAGTTGTTTGGGTTCGATATTTTGGTAATATGGTCAAAGCATATGCTGATTCCGTATGCTCCTAGTGGTTATATGTTTACTCTTTTCTAGATCATTCAAAGCCTCCTCTTCTGTTTTATTTAGGGGTGTTCAAACGGTTTGGTTACCGTGGTAACCGTTTTAACCGGTACTATTTGGATAATTTGGTTTGGTTAATTTGGATAATTGGTTTGGTTTGGTTAAAGTTTTTAGCTTGTTTGGTTAAGGTGGTTTGGTTTGGTTTCGGACACTCCTAACCAGTAAAACCAAATTAATCAGTTAAGTAATTAGTCATATATCTAACGTATATTATATACACATACTTAATACTTTGCATAACCACTCAAGAGTTAACGTTCATCCCTTTTAGACTCATAAAATATAAAGCTCAATATTGCTCATATAGTGTATATTTGTATATGTAAAGTGTAGATCACAACATATGGACGTCTAATTTAGATAAATTTCATACATTATGATGGATGTAATCTTGAAAGGAAGGTCATTTCCAGCCTATGATAATTGCTAAGAGACTAAGTCTATTTACACAAACACGACAATTCAGTAACCCATACCATTGTCATAAATTTTTGTTAGGTGAATACTTCTATACTAATCGTAAGATAATTGTCTTAGTTGCATGTATTTTTGTTAAGGGTCAACTATAACTAAGTGTTGATTGTTATGTTTTATTCATTATATAAATTGCGAATTGTTGCATTAACCGGAAAATTTTCATCGTCAATGATAATGTGATTTTATATTGGTTAATTTGGTTAACCAATTAACCAAACCGATTAAACTTTAGTTTGGTTAATTTGGTTGTTGTATTAGTTTGAACGGTTTGGTTATGATATTGTATTCCATGGTTAATGGAATTTAGCCTTATTTGATTTGGTTATAACCATGGTAACCATTTGAACACCCCTAGTTTTATTGGTACCTTGGAAGTTGGAATGTGATTAGACAAAGTTGTAAGCTTGGCTGGGTAGGGCCCGCCGGAGCCGGCCGAAGCCGTAGTCGGCGTTTTTTTTCTTCCCACCACCTCGTAATTTCCGCGAAGAAATGATCTTAGAAAATTTCTACTAATAAAATATAGATTTGGACCAGATTCAGCTGTTTGTACAGTAGTGTCCTTGACCACTCCAGTGGTTAATTTGGGTGGGTGAGTCATAGTTGAATTGAGTTTCTTTTAAATTAGTGATGCCCTTCGTCATCATGGATACTAACTACTAAGTGCGGTATTTATATTAGATTAGATGGTGAGTAAAAAAAAAATTAGATTATATGGGGGATTACACGTGGTATAGGGTGACCAGACCATTATTTTTTTTTCCCCAGTCTTTTGTGAACCTTTTGCTTTTCTCTTCCCATTTGGATCATCATAAACAACTCAAATAGTACGAACAAAACATCATTTTGAGTTTGGGTTATGAAAATTTAGCATTTTGTTTATAATCCCTTTTTAGCTGAAAATATCTAGTGAAGCGCTACACTTGAGCTAAGGGTTTATTAGCATTTTGTCATAATTAGCAACGAGTTGTGAAAACACAATTAAGATGTTATAAATTAGAAATAGAAACAGCTTGTAGGGTCATGATTCTCACAAAGAGTTGGATGACTTACTAGTCCGGTATGTTAAGTATGCTTGGCAATTGGAATCTCGTTTTCAAGTAGAAGATAAACGGGCCCTTTGTTTTTCTCACTGCATTTCCTACTCTAGTTGTTGTTGTCTTAAGGTAGGTGGAATTTAACCTATAAGAAACACTGAGAAGCCCATATATTTGAGCACTTTGGGTAAAAAGGAAGTCACTTTGGTTGTTGTAAAATGCTGCACTTGGCATAAGAGGGTTTGGTTTAGGGCTAGCAAACACCAAGAATACTAGCCATTATTATTTGGGAAAAAATCTCACTGTACACATGTTTTTAAAAAAAATTCTCAAAATACACATGTTATGAAAAAAATTCCCAATCTACGCATGTTTGGGCCTTCACCGCGTCAGACTAAGGCGGTGATTGCTTCATCGCGTTAAAGAAGAGCGGTGATTGCATCACCGCGTTAGAGAAAAACGGTGATTGCATCACCGCTGTAGACAAAAACGGTGATAGCTTCACCGCATTCAACGGCTGCGGTGAAGGCCTGACCTGCGTCGAATCTTTAAAAGAACGTAACTTTGTGCTCGGTTATCCGATCGTGGTGAATTTTTTTTTGATTCCGCATAATTTTTCGAGATCTTGCAAGCCGCAAACGTTGCAAGGGTTTGAATGACATGTTTGGAGTTTAAGGATAATCAAATATCATGTGTTTCTTGTAGTAGTATTAATCTTGTGAAACCGAATGGATTGGGTCAATATTTGACCCGAAATAAGCCAACCAAACATGACCCGACCCGTAACCAAAGTTCTCAACCCGAAATTACCCAACCCGACCCGATTGCCAGTTCTAATTATTTGGCATTGATTATTTCAGTATTTCAGTGTCCCATTTAGGGTCGAACTCGTATTAAAGGTTTTTGTACAACAGACATTGACAAACTGAAAGGAGGTTAGGTTACGACGGCCTAGCTGTCGGACTAGTGGGGAAGGTCTCATTAATTAGAGCCTGTAAAGGCATTCAGGGTGGTGGGAAATATGTGTGCCGTTGTTGGTTAGCGTAAGCTCTTTAGCCTTGCAGTCGCATGTTATGTGATGTGCATATCCCTTTCAAATAATTACTTCGTATGCATGTGGATTCTGTAGGCCACTTTTTTATGATGAGTGATTAGAGTTGCAAGTTAGGCGAGGTTCTTAATGGTCAGCACATATTAGAACAGGGTTTTTTTAATGTAAACGGTTACATTATTGGAATCCACCTATCTCTCATGCAGCCTAATTCTGCCGAACCTTGATGTTTGGTACTTCACAGCATACCCGTGAAAGAAAACCCAAACCGAATTAAAACGAAAGGTATGCTCTCTCCAGGGAAAAGCATCAACGTTTCATGGATGAAGATCCACCACTTCTTTAGCTGGGATTATGTTATGATTTAGGTAAGGTGTTTGGATATGGAGGATGAATGGACGATGTATCTTCGTACATTGAACCAAAGCGGAACAGTATACATCAATCTAGGGCAACGATGCAGTTTGTTAGGGATGCTAATCCTAATTGTCATGGATTATTGTTCGTGTCAGAATCGTTATAGTATTATTATTATCTACGGAAGCAGAGTTCCATTATACTTCAAATGTCAATTTTCTGTTTAGATGCGTATTTGGATTGGTGGCTCTGACTAAATTTAGCACCGTAGCCGAAAAGAAATGGAAAAAACTGCTTATAAAAGGTGGCCAAAACAAGTGTATTCGTTGTTCCTTTCATTGTCTATACTCGAGACGTTGTTCGGGTTAAGATTTTGCATTCACGCTGGTTTCAGAAAGAGCATAAGTTAATCCGTCTTCCTAACAGAGACTAGTTGTTGTCTCTCTTAAGTTTTACCTCCTGGGTGTGTATCTTAGTGCCCATGTCCTTTCTGTTCCTTTACTGCCGGTTCTCCTTGTTGCATAAAACAATTTTAACGACGCCAGAACTCATGTAGTTCTCGGTAGATGATATTCTTCGATACTTTCAATTCAAGTAACCAGAGTCAGGTGGCATTATTCTATGTTCTTACAGGATATTTTATTGGTATCCTAGGGCCTAGGCATTGTAATTAGAATGTGCTTTCAGAAACAAGGATAAAAGTACAAACATACTCTGTGTATCAATCAGGCCTTTTAAACCTTTCCTCTTATTACATTTTCTGCAGGTGCTGCTGCCGTAACGGAAAAATGGGTGCCGGTGCCAGGATGTCCGTCCCTCCATCCAAGAAAGGCTGATTCGGGAACCTTGAAGCGATCTCCTTACTCAAAGCCTCCCTTCACACTCGGGGAGATCAAGAAAGCCATCCCTCCACACTGCTTCAAACGTTCCATTCCTCGCTCGTTCTCCTACGCTGCAGTTGACCTCATATATTCTACTACATCGAAGGAGTGGGATTGGTTGAGAGGAGCTCTGGCGACTATGGATAGAGACTACGGGTTCCTGAACACGGTGTTCCATAACATCACGGACACCCACGTGGCGCACCATCTGTTCTCGATGATGCCTCACTACCATGCAATGGAGGCTACCAAGGCCATCAAGCCGATTCTGGGCGAGTATTATCAGTTCGACGGGACCCCGTTTATTAAAGCGATGTGGAGGGAGGCGAAGGAGTGTGTTTATATTGAGCCGGATGAAAGCGACCAGACAAAAGGTGTGTTCTGGTACAACAACAAGCTGTGATCCGTTCTGATGGGTTTTATGCAGAGGTGGAAGGGGAGAGAGGTGTTCTGGAGGATCTGAGGTTTCTCCCCGTCTATCTGGTCGTGGGTTTATGCTTGTAGGACATGTTTTGTTGTGTCTGGTCTGGTGAAGTCTTTTTTTCTTCCTTGTCTTGGTCTGTAGCGTTTGAGCATCGTTAATGGTTATAGACAGTTCAATCACAAAGTTGTCAAGGCATTGTGTGGCGATGTCTGTTCTGTTTATGTCTTCAAATGTGGAAGGTGCCGGGATTTCCCGAGTAGGTCGTCGTTGTACCCAGTAAAGTGAGTTATCTAGTAGTAGTGTTATAATATCTGTCAGGCTGCAATCGCATAATCTTTTGAATTGTATCATTATCCACCCAATATACACCCAGCCTTCCTCGTTCCAGTAACAAGCTTGCTGGTCAATTAGCTTAATCATTCATATTCGATTGTTGCCAATTAATTCAACTACTAATCTCGACAGAATTATCAGAACAGAACCCACAAGTTCCAACTTCCAACCAAAAATAGATCAGAAGTTCAGAGGAAGAATTCCCAGAATACCGTCAAAATTAAACATAATTCCCATAATACATAACTTTTATAAAATTTTCCCAAAATACCCAAGTTTCAAGGGGTCCGAGTTCCATAAACTCGAACAACAACACAGTTCGACGATTAAAAACTCGAACTACAACCACATCGCGTTTTTAAACCTCGATCAAAAGTAGTTCGAGTTTGGACAACTCGATCACAGTAGATCGAGTTTGGAAAACTCGATCAAAGTAGTTCGAGTTTGGGAAACTCGATCCAACATGATCGATGCCAATAAACTCGATCTAGCCAAACGACTTCAGAATCCTCGATCCATATCTGCATTAGATTGATGCCTTAAAACTCGAACCATAGAGATCGATTCCTATGGCCTCGAACCACTGGTCAACCGAAGTGTCAGGATAGGGTTGCAGGGATAAGATTCTTTGTTGGCATAGATCGAGTTCTAGGGACTCGAACTAGTGTAGTTCGATTATTCTAAACTCGAACCACTGCTCAATCATTTTGTCCAGTCGCTTTCGGTCCGACATGCTCCAGAATAGGGTGCAGGGGGTAAAATTATTGGTTGCCATAGATCGAGTTTAATGGACTCGAGCTCCCGTAGTTCGACTTTTTTGGACTCGAACCACTGCATCAGTTTACGAGGATAAAAATCCATCACTTAGCACATTCTGGCAGCTCTTTTACTTTCTATCTTCTTTCTTCCAAACATAAACTGCAGCAGCTGGAGCACCATAGCTGAGCAAAGAAGAAATTTTTTGGAGGTAAGTTCTGCTTACGTTGTTTGAATGAGCATATTAGAATTTTGGATTAATTTAGAATTGTTTGTACTGTATGTAATGAGCTGCTTCTATAAACTGCAGAAATGGGTAGAAAATTTCAAAAATTCGACTTATTGATTCGGTGGAGTGGTCGAATTACACATTTTCATGATAGTATTGACTACAAAGATGGTGAATCAAGTACTGTCCGGATTGAAAGCATATTTACTTGGTAAGAACTCAGCCATATTTGTGCGGAACGATGTTGCATAGGAGGGCGAAGAGTATGCAAGATGACTTACCGTATGCCGGTTTACAAGGATTATGCACTTGTATATGAAGGATCAGTTTTGTCTGACGATGATGACGTTAATATGATGGTGAGATTTATTGCAGAGAACAGATTTCCAACTGCTGAGGTGTATGTCGAGACAGAAGTTGTTGGCCAATATGGTGGGGGCGGTTATACCGAACAAGGTGAAGGATGGGGAGGGTTTTCCGGTTCAGGAGATTTTAGAGTTCTGCATGATGCACCATGGCCAACATACGAGGATCGAACTGCAACTGGTCCATTGGTGGAACATGACGGACAGGAGTGGCCACTATGGGGTGAAGAATGGGATTACATAAGGGCACCCAGACAGTCACCCAGACAAGCATCTACACCAGCATCTGGCATCAACAATGATCCGTATGTGGATAAACCAAGTCCTCCACACACTAGCGAGGCAAGCAACGTGGAAGATGAAGAGTTAGAATCAATGAGTAGTTCAGATGGTGAAGAACTGGAAGTTGATGAGGGGGAATTTGAGCCCCCCCCCCCCCCCCCCACACCTCACTACACGATGGTGCCACAACATCCTCTCTATGCTCACAACGACGATCCTGACCTCCCTCCTATACCTATCTGGCTCATTCGTAAGACAGACAACAACCACACTTGTAGGTCGTCACTGATTTCTCTAGATCACCGACAATTGAGTGCAAGGAAGGTTGCACAAACAATCAAACATCTGATTGAGGCACAACCTGGGATCACCGTGAAGAGTGTCATCGCTGAAGTAAAGAATCGACATGGCTATACCATCAGTTACAAGAAAGCATGGCATGGGAAGCAAAAAGCTATGGCAGAGGTGTATGGCGATTGGGAAGAGTCATTTGCTAATATGCCTTGTTTGATTATTGCAATGATGGACAAGAATCATGGGTCTGTTTTTGTGCCTAGTTACGAAGATTTCTATGAGGGTGCTAAACGCGTGTTTAAGAAACTATTTTGGGCATTCAAACCATGCATTGATGGTTTCACCCATTGTCTGCCAATAATCCAAGTTGATGGCACCTTTCTGACCGGCAAATACAAGGGCACTCTACTCGTTGCCACTAGTGTTGATGGCAGTATGCAACTTTTCCCTCTTGCTTTTGCTATAGTCGAATCGGAGAACAACTTAAGTTGGGCATGGTTTTTTTCCCAACTATACACTCGTGTCACTCAACGGAAGGACATTGCCATACTTTCTGATCGCACCATGGAATTAGACATGCTTTCTACGACCTTCCCGAGGAGCTAGGGTGGAAGTGGCGCTGGTGCATACGACATTTCAAAAGCAATTACGGGAAGCACTTTGGTAGAACTTATGGACAACGTGCAGTTTGGCACGCTGGCAAGAACAAATAAGATGTTGTGATTATATCAATTGGTTGAATGCGTATACTCCTTTACTAACCTTATTTTGCTTTATTGTAGCTATTGCTTTTCAGACTCGAAAGTTTGTAGACAAAATGAAGAGCATAAGGGAGGTCCACTCTGAAGGTGCAGATTGGCTAGAAACTCATCCTTTTGAGAGGTGGACGTTACATCAAGATGAAGGGTATAGGTATGGAATAACAACAACGAACATGGGTGAGTGCCTCAATGGTTTGTATGCTGGTCTTCGTGCAATCCCTATCTCATCTGTAGTCTTTCATACCTTCTTTCGTACGGTGACATGGTTCGTTGAACGCTACCAAGCAGCATATCAGATGTTGAATGCTAGAATCTATATCCCAAAGAAGATTACGGATGATATGAAACCATGGTCGGAAAGGGCAAAATGGCATAAGATGACTTTATTTAGTCGAAGAGATTCCCGCTTCGCAGTAGTAACAGGAAGTGGACCAGATAGTTCAAAGGGTGGTAATGCTCAAACAGTCACAGGCAACTTATATTGTCGGACACATCTATCCGGGAGGTGCCACTCGACAATGTTGTGGGAGAGGAATCGGTTGCGCCCAATTATATTGTCGGACACATCTATCCGGGAGGTGCCACTCGACAATGTTGTGGCAGATCACAGGCAACTTGCACGACCAGAGTCGACGATCCTGAGGGTATCGCAACTCGTGCAAATCCTTTGCTCCGTTCGGATACGGATCCCACTCCACCTAAGTTTCAACACAACATATAATTTAAAATCGAAGCAAATAATTTCAATAAATAAAATAGAATTCGTAATCATAAAAATAAATCACAGGCTAAGTCTAATACAAATAATTTCAACAAATAAATCAAATAGAATTCATAATCATAAAAATAAATCATAGGCTAAGTCTAAGACAAATAATTTCAACAAATAAATCAAATAGAATTCGTAATCATAAAAATAAATCATAGGGTAAGTCTACGACAAATAATTTCAACAAATGAATCAAATAGAATTCATAATCATAAAAATAAATCATGGGCTAAGACAAATAATTTCAACAAATAAATTAGCATTCATAATCATAAGCTAGAATGTTACCTCGTTGAATTCTATACAGTCAAGATGTTGGCGGTACCCGTCTAGAGAGTTGAGTCTCGTGATAGCTCCAATCCATCTAGCACCATAAGCCCATTGTCGTAGTGGCTCCTCGGGACCCCAACTATTGGCAGGGCAGATCGGAGCGAAAGTAGGAAGGTGCTCCCAAACCCATAGGTTGAGGATGAACATGGGACCACCCGCTTGCTTTGTTTTCGGATCCGTACACTTGCACAACTCCGAATATATCATCGCCAAACAAGCAGATCCCCAACTTTTTCTCCCAATCTCGTCCCAATCTTCCAAAAGAACTCGAAGCCACATACAATGCATATTTCCACCAGACTTGTTCGGAAAAAAAAATCCACCAACCAAACAAATCAGGTAGATGCGAGCATACCTCTCTATCTGAGCATCCGTGGCATCCTCCGGTAATTCCCCAACCGTCCTCACTAGCCAAGGTATCAATAGCATAGACTTGTGTAGAGGTGGTACACGACGACCTTCTTGTGCTTCCTCAGGGATGTTGATACCTAAACGCTCACTTATAAATTGGCCCCAACCATTCAATGGCTTCTGTGAACTTTCTATTATTGCATCACCATCGATTGGAAGCTCTGTCAGCATGGCTACGTCCTTCAACGTAATCGCCATCTCTCCCTCTAGAAGGTGGAATGTGTGCGTTTCTTTTCTCCATCTTTCCACCATTGTCGTAAGAAGGTTGTTGTCCATCTCCATCCCCACAAACTTTCGCACCCTCAGCAATCGCGCTCTTTCAATGAAGGGCTCGATACAATCATCCCATTTAGGCAAGCGAGATAGCGACCGATGGGTGATTACGTCAAGTTGTTCCTGTAGCAAAAAAAACATTAATTATTAAACAAAAAAAAATTCGAAGAATACTATCACATTTAGAAAAAGAAAAGTACATGAGGAAGTGCTTATCGGATCTGCCGCCCAAACACTTTCAGACCGATGGTAAGGTTGCTCATTCAACAAATCGTTTACTCGCGGTCCGCCTTGAATGTATAATCTAGGATCGTAAATACTCGGATCCATCTCGACAATTTTGAGTGATAGAAGTACCAAACTAAAGAAAAAAAATATGATGCGGAAGATCGGGCTTAGCCGCAACCACAGAGCATATTTTTTTCTTCAAGAGTGGTGGGACGAAGAGAGGAAGAAGAATGGAGTGGTGTGAGATTTGGTGGAATGGAAGGGGGTATTTATAGGTGCAGTGGGAGGAGGTGGATCGAGTTTAGGGGACTCGAACCACGACATCGATTTTGCCGCCCTCGATCCGCGTCAGAAGGAGTTCGAGTCTTGCAAAATCGAACGACCCGGATCGAGTTAGGCAAACTCGATCTACGGTGGAGCGTGCCTGACGTTATCGATCCGCGTCAAACAGATCGATTCCGAGGCAATCGATCCCCCTGCATCGATTTCGCCCCACTCGATCCGCGTCACCACTGCATCGCAGATTTTGCAATTGAACGGTGGAGATCGATCCCCCTTACCTCGATCTATGGTGTAGCGATGCATTTGTCAGCGATCCAGGTCATTTAGTTCGAGTCTATTACACTCGATCCACGTAAATCGAGTTTGAAACACTCGATCTGTGTCGTCCTGCGCCAGCCAATCGTGGCTGTTTCGCTCGATGCACTTGGATCGATCCTTTGTCAATCGATCTGGTCGTAGTTCGAGTTTACTAAACTTGAACCAGTTGAAACTTTGGTAGTTTGGGAAATATTTATAAAAGTGATGTATTATGGGAATTTCTTTTAATTTCCACTGTATTTAGGAAAATAATCCGAAGTTCAGAACTCGTATCAATCGCAACATTCTTGACAGGAGGACAAAGTTTGGGCTGATGGAAGGGCCCATCGGATCTAGTCGTCCCAAGAACAACAGCGGGTACCGCTGGTAGTTGACAAGCCGTCTATCTTCGACTGACTCATTCACCTTGTTGAGGCTGTAGAAAATTTGAAAACGAGAAACGCAAAACAACACTTGCAAGCTAAACCAGAAAACTGAAAAGTAAAAAAGCTGGATTAGGCAAGGAACAAACAAAAGGATTAGGAAACACTCTCAGATTTTGATTTTATTTTTGCCTTCTTTTTCTCCCTGGCTGGGCGACGTCGGCGAATCTCAGCAGGTAATTCACCTCGACCTTGCCTCCGGACCTCGCTTCCTTCTCTCTGCTCTAGGGTTTCTAATTCAGCATAGATCTTGCTACTTCCAATTTTTCTAGTTCATGAATTTGTCGTGAATTTTCCAGGGCCGCGCTCTGTTTGAGGTATAGAGGTCTGCGGGGTTGAAGTTTTGGCTTGTTTTTTAGAAGTGAAAGGAAAAATGGCGAGGATCAAACCTCAAGCTCTGTTGCAACAGAGCAAGAAGAAGAAAGCACCGAGCAGGATAAGCGGCACCACTATTCTGTTCTGCGGCTTGATTGTTGTCCTAGCTCTGTTTTTTCTCTACTCCACCTACACTCACCGCTCCATAAGGTTCGTCGCTGGCGCTTGTTTGCGGTTTTCTGCACTCGAATTTCTTTCTGTTTCTGTCCGTTCGTTGGATTCTTCTAGTAACAGTCTTTCTTTTGCGCTTCTTAGGTCCAGCATCCAAAGGTCTAATACTGATTCGGAACTTGAGGTGTTTTCTTCATGATTCATCACAATTGATTGAACGTTTTCCCACTTCGCAACATCTCAGTTCTCAATCATCCCCTTTTGGCCATTTCGATTTCGTGTTGTAGTTGCAGGATGATCATGTTGTGGATTTGAGGAAATATGATATCCCGGGGTACGCGGTATGTCTTCTGTTATCTGCACATTGTTCCTTCTGTTATCCCGGGGTTACTCCTTCTGTTTGCTTATGACCATTTTCTTCAGATCTTTACAACATCAAAAGGGCCAGTAACTGTGGAACTTTTCAAGGATAGCTCTCCAGAAATTGTTGACAAGTTTATTGAATTATGGTAAGTCCTTCAATCAACCTTTTTTTCCAGCTTAATACTTGTATCTGTACGATATTGACATAGTTTTTCCCTCCTTGGTTTCAACTTTCATCTGCTTTATCAATCTCCGTAGGATATGAAAATAAACTATCTTCTTCCTTATTTGGTGCAAATAATCAGCCATATGCATCTTACTTAGAGTATGGGCTATGGCAACTCCAATATGGAAGTAAAATGTTTTTTATATTATGTACTGTAAGACTTAAATGGTGCAATTGATTCAATGGGTGCAGCTCCTTGAGATATTGGGATGCTACAAACTTTCACTGTCCCAAGCTTTCCTCCATTATTACTTGACTCACTCCTACTGCTACTCTAGAAAATGGCCAAGTGTAACCACTTCCTAAAGCGTAGTATAGCGGGTTTGGGTTTTAATGTCAACCCGGGTCCTAGATGTGATGACTACTCAGTGAATTCGTATTATCTAGCAATGAAACTTTAGTGAAGATCTAAACTAACAAGCAAGCAAAGTAACTAAACGGTTGTTTTCAGGTTAAGAGAGGTCACCCGGATATGGTTCCCCCTAGACTGCAGTTAAGCCGGATTGTAATTACCAAGTTCAATTTCTATGATAGTTATACTGCAGAAGGTTCTCAAACAATCTGAAGTCTCGACTAAAGGTCTTCAGACCCTCTCAATCTGAGTCTCTAGCGGACGACTAACCTCCACCGGAGTAAACAGATTGATGCCCGAACGAACCAAACCTCCACTACCGAATTGAATTCGGTACAGAATAGCGAATTGGCTCCTCGACTAAAGTCACCAATTCGCTACCTTCAATTAAGGATGCTCTATCAACCTAGGCAGATACTCTCATTCTAGGTTAAAGCATAAACAACAGGAATTTGATCAGGATTCATGTCATTCAATCATTCAAACCTCAATCGAATATAATCAAATCATAGAAACAGTACTTGGGTTCATACAATCAATCCTAACATACAGATCTAGGGTTTCCCACACCCAGATGAATGGGAGAACTACTCCATGGAGAAAGAAGCAAAAGCAGAATCAGATGCGGAAACCATACTGTGAAGGATGGATTTCAGCTCCTGGACGTTGATCGGCACTCTTCCAAGCTCAAGCCAAGCTCCAATGGTGATGAAGATCAAGCTAGGGCACTTGGAGACTCTTGTTCGTCGCTTTCTCTCTCTAGGAATCGCTCTATCTCTCTCAAACTCCAATCCCCCTTCTTTTGGCTGAAAATCTGCCTAAAAGGGCATCAGTGGCCAAAGCACGGTCGAGGGCACGGCCGTGCTTTGCCTCAGACCGCCCGTGCTTTGGCTAGGGTTAATTACACGGCCATAGAACACGGCCGTGTTCTGAAGGCCTCCTGCCCGTGTTTTTATTGCCGAACCTGTTCCCCTATATTCAATGCTTCGTTTCTCCCTCGTCCGGACTCCGAATCAGTCGCCGTTTGATCCCAGACGCTCGTAGTCTCGTCCTATTTCTTTTCATGAAAAGCTTGCATGATTCTTTGTCCATAAAGTGAGGTAGAAATCCATTCTTCTTCAGGTCATGCCCGAGTTTCTGCTCCCGAATCGCCAATTGATCTCTGATTGAGTTGAAACTTGCGCCTATGCTTCACTTTATGTGCTAGGACCTGAAATATGACAAAGGAACACAACCTAGCGTAAAATAGGCCAAAGAAGCGATAATGCAAGCTTAAACGATCAAGAAACAAAGGGGAAAACATGTGCAAATATCGAGTCATCAAATCCCCCCACACTTAACCGTTTGCTTGTCCCCAAGCAAACCAAGTCAGACACAAGGTAAGCTCAAAACAGGGCATGTCATATTGGCACAAAACACGTGGATCATACTGGCTTTTGATCATCAACACATGGCCACTCGAACGACAACCTAGACAACCACCACAGATGACATTCGAATGCAATAAAACCGAGCAAAGGAAGAGTTCTCTCCTGTTCACCAACCAACATAGACTTGACTCAATCACTTGTTCAAAACAGTCACTTCATGCACAAAGCTCAAGATATCAGAATTAAGACCGAGCAATCTAGGTCCTCACCAGGGTATAGAGTATAGAGAATATGAGAAAATGAATCACTCACTCTCGACCAGTGGGGTCAGGACAATTTGATGCGAAAGATGCGCATGCTTATTCTCTCAATCCCTAATGTCTCTTCACCATGAATGCAGCCTCTAAATGCTAGAGTTCACATAAGGGGGTTTCACCACTAACTAATCCGGAGGTCTTAGACACAGGTTCAAATGACTGGCTAGGGTCTTGGACATGGGGAAAATGCCTTTTAGGTGGTGGTAGTTATAGCGCAAGGTTCCACATTTCCAAACCCAATAAAACCACAGTCAAGCAAACCAGTAACTTTCATTCTGCTATTCTGCATTACTCAACTTCTTTAGGCACAAGAGCGAAGGTGGTTATATAAATGTTAACATTTCCTAGCACGACTGCTAAGAAACACTACTTAATGGGCACTATTCATAATTTTGGTGGTGGCTCTCTTTTGCTTTCATTTTTTTCTTTGTTTTTCTTTATTTTCTTTAAGAAACCACCACCTCTGCACATTTTTCAATTACACGCCCAACTTTTAAGCACTTCCTCCAACCCTCACATTACATTTAGCAGAAACAGCAGAGAACATGTAAAAACCACTCTGTGGAACCTTCTAAAAGATGCAAAGGGTGATTTTTCATTGTAGACCGAAAGAAAGGATAACACACGACTCAAAGGGGCTGACTAGGGGTATGACACACCAAGACAGTCAATTTGGTCGTGGGCTAATCCTATGCCTCCATCATCTTAGCTAGTGACAACGTGAATGCTACATTTCATGGAAGAGGGATCTATCGCACAAGAAAGAAACGAGCAGGCTCAAATCTCACATGGCTACCTATATGCTCTATCTCACATTCTGATTCCTTGAACTAGATGCATAAATGACTGTCAAAGGGGCTGACTAGGGGTATGACACACCAGGACAGTCAATTTGGTCGTGGGCTAATCCTATGCCTCCATCATCTTAGCTAGTGACAACGTGAATGCTACATTTCATGGAAGAGGGATCTATCGCACAAGAAAGAAACGAGCAGGCTCAAATCTCACATGGCTACCTATATGCTATATCTCACATTCTGATTCCCTGAACTAGATGCATAAATGACTGTCAAAAGCAAGTGATCAAACCAAGTCACATTTGGTGAGCAGACAGTTGAAAAACTGAACCCCTACACAATTCTACTGCACATCTCAGTCATCACAATAAGTTGTCTAAGTCACACTCAAGTTGTCATGTATCAAGTCAAAAGCCATTCAAATCTCTAATCACATCCATAGTGCCAATACAATCAATTATCAAGCAAACAGCAGTGCTTGGAGCCCTCAAATCTCGAGATTTGGACAGTGGACTAGGCTCCAAGCACCCATACACACGTTCCAATTAATACAGCGAACCCCCCCACACTTAAATGCGACAATGTCCTCAATGGAGCAGAGGGAAGGGGAACGATGTTACCGTGAAATGAGATCAGGAACGGAGATGGAGAGGCAGACCGGACAATAGCAAGGGACTGGAAGGGGAACCAGTCCGAGGCACAGAGCTAAAGTCAACAAAAGACACACACTGGGTGATAGAAGAGCTCAAACACAATATGTTAGGTCCAATGGTCAGCCCAATAATACCTCATCCAAAACAAAAGAAAACAAACCAAAACCAAACCGGTTTACAATCCGACTCAAAACACAAGCAAGAAAGTCAAACCGTGGTGGGGTTGCCTCCCCACAAGCGCTTCTTTACCGTCTTTTAGCTGGACGCCCATGGTGGATACTCAGGGAGGTGCAGGAACAGGTGCCTCCAAGAGCGGATCCACGTCGCTCTTGAGGTACAGCTTCAGGTTGTGGCCATGCACCCGACGGGTGCAACCACCAGCATTGGTCAGCTCGACCTGGCCATCCGGCAAGATGCAGGCGAGTGAGTACTCGGATGGCCAGGGTGGTCGTGGTGCAGATGGTGGAACCAGCTCATAGTGGTCTCCACCTTTCTTCCATGTAGGCTTGGTAACCGGCTGCTTCGGCCGCCACTCCTCCTTGATCTTTTTGTTCGGAGACGAGGCTGGATGGAGTGGCGGCAAAGGGGTGAGAGGAGGATCCTGCAAAATGGGAGATGCAGACGGATACACGAAAGGCTCGTGTACCGGGTCAGAAATAGCATGCACAGGTGTGACAGCAATCATAGCACAGTGATCGAATTCAGACACAGCAAAGGTAGCCTGTTCATTTCCAGTACGCAGTATCAGTTTACCCTCATGCACATCAATAAGTGCCTTGGCGGTGGCAAGAAATGGTCTCCCTAAAATCAAAGGCACATCCACATCATCATTTATATCCAGAATAACAAAATCAACAGGATATGTGAATGCACCCACTTTAACAAGCAGATCCTCTATGATACCCCTAGGATGCACAACGGAACGATCAGCTAGCTGAATGCTCATCCTAGTAGGGCTAAGTTCACCTAGGTCTAGCTTTTTGAACAATTTATATGTCATGACATTAATGCTAGCGCCTAGGTCCGCCAAGGACTTTCCTACATGCATGCTGCCAATAGTAAGAGGGATAGTGAAACTCCCTGGGTCCTTGCGCTTCTCGGGCAGCTTGTTCTGCAGGACAGCAGAACACTCCTCGCTCAGCAGCACTGTCGAGAGATCCCCAAGTTTCTTCTTGTTGGTGAGGATATCTTTCATGAACTTCGCGTACTTGGGCATCTTCGACAGTGCCTCCACAAATGGTATGCTGATGTTGAGCTGCTTCAACATTGCCATAAACTTGGCAAACTCAGTCTCCAGCTTATCTTTATGTAGGCGAGTGGGGAAGGGAAGTTGGGGTACGTGCTCCTTCACCACTGATTGTGGCTTGGGAGCAGGGACTTCCTTCTCCACCCGCACTTCTGCATCACCGGCTATAAGTGCTGAAGCAGGTAGTGGTTCCTCCTGCCTGGTCGGGGCAGGATCAACCGATGTAGGCCTGCCGCTCCTGGTGAAGATGGCATCCAGCTGCTCGTGCGGGTCCCGTGGATTAGGGATGGTGGTGGCAGGCAGAGTCCCCGGGGCCCGGGCAGTAAGTTGGCGCGCTAGGGCACCAACTTGGTGCTGTAGATCTTGCAGAATAGCACCCTGGTTCTTCTGACCTGCCTCCAGAGAGGCTATGCTCTGGTCCACCCTCGTGAAATTTGCCTGGCTAGTGGTCATGAATGCTGCCAAAATATTCTTCAGATCGGTCATCTGGTTATCGGGAGCTGGGGCTGCCGCTGGCTCGGCATACTGTCGCTGGGGCTGCTGGAATGGCTGCCACTACCGAGGCTGGAAGGGCTGCCTCTGCTGAAAAACACTTGCTAGTGCTGGGAAACCAGGTGGTTTGTTGGTGTTGCTGCTCCAGGCAAAGTTGGGATGCTAGCGCCATCCCTCATTGTAGGTATTGCTATATGGGTCAAGGCGCCGAGCATTTGCGATGAAGTCCATCTGTTCTTGGGGAGTAGAGGACTCCCTCATAGCCTGACAGTCTTCCACCCGGTGATTCGGGCTCTCACACCACTGACACTGAGCTGCTGGAGGCGGAGCTGTACCTCGACCCGGAAGGAGACTGTTGGGCTGCTTCAAGGTCTGCACTAACTCAGCCACCTGGTGCTCTAACCCGGACCTGGCCTCCACAGCGTGCACATCACGGTCCCGGGAATGTCTGCCTCTGGTGCTCTGCCCCCAGGAATGATCGCGGGCAGCCAAGGTACTGATCATCTGGTTCAGCTCGGGTGGAGTCTTAGTGAGAATATCCCCTCCTGGGCATAGAGACTCGATCACACTCTGGCTGTCTGGGGTGAGGGCGCTGTAGAAGTTCCCCACTGTGAATGCATCGCTGAAGCCATGATGGGGACACTGCCAGAAGTATCCCATGTACCGCTCCCAGGCATCACGAAGTGACTCATCTGGCTCTTGGCGGAAGTGAGTGATCTCCCACTGAATCTCTGTGGTCTTCGATGCCGGATAGTACCTGTGCACGAACTTATCTGCCAGATCGTCCCAAGAAGTGATGGACAATGGGGGCTGGGTCTCCAACCACCTCTTAGCATTCCCCGCCAGAGAATGGGGGAAGAGGTGAAGGCGGATTGCGTCATCCGGAACACCGTTCAGCTTGAACCCGTTTGTCAGCTGCAGAAAACGGGAAAGATGTGCCCGGGCCTCCTCATCCTTCAAGCCATGGAACTGGATAGAGGATTTAATGAGTTGAATTCAGCATGGCTTGATCTCGAAGTTGTTTGCTGGAATTGGCGGATAGAGGATGACCGGGCGGATGTCAGCAATCCGCGGAGTGTAGTAGTACTCCAAGGTGGGACCCGATGGTGGTGGATGATGATGGACCCCAGCTGCCTGGGGATTGGGGTCGTTCCCCAGGAACTGGTTCTCCGGAGGTGGGTTTTGATCGCCTTCCATCTCGTACTCGTCCTCGGACTCGGTGCTCAATTGGCCGTCTCTGCGCTCTTCCGTAGCCAGTCTAGCTCGCTGTTGTCTCCTAAGTTGGCGGCTGGTGCATTCAATCTCTGGATCCAACGGCAGTAAACCTCCCGACTGGCTACGGGTCATGCACTATCTGCACACAATCAAGCAATGCAAACCCGTGAACGCACAAGTGGGAAAGAAGAAACACCCAATGCGAAAATGAAAATGCTAAAGTAACAGAAATCACTTTTCTTCAACAACCTAGCCGTCCCCGGCAACGGCACCAAAAACTTGACTCACTCCTAATGCTACTCTAGAAAATGGCCAAGTGTAACCACTTCCTAAAGCGTAGTATAGCGGGTTTGGGTTTTAATGTCAACCCGGGTCCTAGATGTGATGACTACTCAGTGAATTCGTATTATCTAGCAATGAAACTTTAGTGAAGATCTAAACTAACAAGCAAGCAAAGCAACTAAACGGTTGTTTTTAGGTTAAGAGAGGTCACCCGGATATGGTTCCCCCTAGACTGCAGTTAAGCCGGATTGTAATTACCAAGTTCAATTTCTATGATAGTTATACTGCGGAAGGTTCTCAAACAATCTGAAGTCTCAACTAAAGGTCTTCAGACCCTCTCAATCTGAGTCTCTAGCGGGCGACTAACCTCCACCGGAGTAAACAGATTGAGGCCCTAACAAACCAAACCTCCACTACCGAATTGAATTCGGTACAGAATAGCGAATTGGCTCCTCGACTAAAGTCACCAATTCGCTACCTTCAATTAAGGATGCTCTATCAACCTAGGCAGATACTCTCATTCAAGGTTAAAGCAGAAACAACAGGAATTTGATCAGGATTCATGCCATTCAATCATTCAAACCTCAATCGAATATAATCAAATCATAGAAACAGTACTTGGGTTCATACAATCAATCCTAACATACAGATCTTGGGTTTCCCACACCCAGATGAATGGGAGAACTACTCCATGGAGAAAGAAGCAAAAGCAGAATCAGATGCGGAAACCATACTGTGAAGGATGGATTTCATCTCCTGGACATTGATCGGCACTCTTCCAAGCTCAAGCCAAGCTCCAATGGTGATGAAGATCAAGCTAGGGCACTTGGAGACTCTTGTTCGTCGCTTTCTCTCTCTAGGAATCGCTCTATCTCTCTAAAACTCCAATCCCCCTTCTTTTGGCTGAAAATCTGCCTAAAAGGGCATCAAAGGCCAAAGCACGGTCGAGGGCACGGCCGTGCTTTGCCTCAGCCCGCCCGTGCTTTGGCTAGGGTTAATTACACGGCCGTGTTCTGAAGGCCTCCTGCCCGTGTTTTTACTGCCGAACTTGTTCCCCTATATTCAATGCTTCGTTTCTCCTTCGTCCGGACTCCGAATCAGTCGTCGTTTGATCCCAGACGCTCGTAGTCTCGTCCTATTTCTTTTCATGAAAAGCTTGCATGATTCTTTGTCCATAAAGTGAGGTATAAATCCATTCTTCTTCAGGTCATGCCCGAGTTTCTGCTCCCGAATCGCCAATTGATCTCTGATTGACTTGAAACTTGCGCGTATGCTTCACTTTATGTGCTAGGACCTGAAATATGACAAAGGAACACAACCTAGCGTAAAATAGGCCAAAGAAGCGATAATGCAAGCTTAAACGATCAATAAACAAAGGGGAAAACATGTGCAAATATCGAGTCATCATTACTACAATGAAAGTATAGTTCCAGAGCCATGTAGCAGGCAGAGTTTTCTTGTGTCTTCCTCTTAATTACCAAAAATTTCTTAGCAATATGTAGAAAATGCGTGTCATGTTGATTAATTTGTTAGCTTATGAAGATTAGCGCGCTACACGCAGTATAGAACTTCTATTCTTCAACAATTCATAGTACATATGCGATGTAATCTTACATTTTTAAATTGATAGATGATCTAGCAATCTCACAATTTGATCTGCCCATCCTACAATGTTTAGCTTCTTCATCTGTGTTGATCATTGATGTAATTGTTTTTCCTCTTTCGTCAAAAGGAACATTTCAAGGGAATGCACTTTCTGCGTGCGATAAAGCATTATGTGATTCAAGCAGGGAACACTGATAATCTTGGCAATACCGAGGATTGGACCGTGAAAGGGAAGCATCACGGGCAACTTCATGCTAGGTAGCTGCGAGGATTTATTTTATTTACTTATCCTTGATTATGTTCCATAGTTTGGCAGGAAACCGTTCAATTAGCCTAATTGATAATCTTTTTCTTCCTTTAGCCTGAAACATGAGGCCTTCATGGTTGGAACTTCCAAGGGAAAACGTGATGACAAAGAATTTGACCTTTTCATCACAACTGCACCAATCCCAGATTTGAGTGAGAAGCTGGTAGTTTTTGGCCGGGTTGTGAAGGGTGAAGATGTTGTTCAGGTAATGCCATAATCTTAATTTTACATGGGCCTGATTCTGGTTAGAAATCTATTTCTGTTTATCTTAACTAGTTTGCTCCTCATATCGTACTCAGCACCTTTGACTAACAAATATGTTTCCGAATCTCACACTTGGGGTAACTTCTTGTTCTACCAGTAGATGCACACGGATGCTTGATAATTAGCTGTGTCAATCTGATATTTGCTAAACTAATTAGGCGTGTTAGGATTGCATTCCGAGTTAGATAGAGCGGGTAGCTCTCGTAGCCTTGGAATGACGATTGTGGTAAATTAATAAATACTGAATCTGATTACTTGCGTTCATTAAAATGGGTTACAGGAAATCGAAGAGGTGTCTACAGATGAACACTATCAACCTAAAAGTCAAATAGGGATCATCAATGCCAGTCTTAAGCAGGTCTAGACTGCTAACTGATTTTAAGCCCCTTTCACACGGCAATTGCTGCTTTCAAATGGAAGAAGAATGGCATAATTTTCGGAGGTCCAGGCACTTCACTCAAAAGGCTAATCTCCAGCAGTGGTCCTTGCGAAGTCCAACCTGTTATCCTTGGGGTTCTGTCACGACCCGAAATGTCGTGACCGTGTTGATCGTCTGAAGAATGCTGCCATCTGGTTGTCTTGCCATGAGAAGGGTAAAGGGGGCGACATTAGCGATAAGGCGTTGTCTGCCTGTGCATCGCATCTAGCCGAGTCTGGATGTGGCTATGAAGGGGATTGTTGCAAGAGAAGGCACAACTGGTTGGAGGCTATTGCCGTCTCCCTGATGAGCCCAAGGTAGGGCGAAACTAGTTGGCATGCGTATGCAGAGAGGCTGGTCTTGAGGAATGAGTGCACCTCAAGACGCCGCACGGACTTCGGAAGTCTATGTCCGTGACAGTTCCCAGTGGCAGGAATGAGTTATATTCTGGCGATAGTAACCAATGTATTTAGGAGTCATATATGGGATGTAATCATTACTCGATTTCGGATAATGATTTTTGTTGTTGCATTGTGCTGTCTTTGCAAGTGGTTATGGCTGTAAATGATTCATTTTTGTGTCTTCTTTAGTTGAGCATTCCCTTTACCTTCTCCGCTTCATTAAAGCCTCCCAAGTCAGTGCTTTTTCCCTATATACAGTAGTTGAGCATTCCCTTGCCTTCTCTGCTTTCCGCCCGACATGCTTCAAGATAGGGTGCAGGGATAAGATTCTTGGTAGTAGTGGATCAAGTCCTTTGCACTCGAAGTGCGCTAGTTCGATGAGCATGGCCACGAACCACTTCATCAGTTTATGAAAATAAAAGCAAGCTCTCAGTACAGTCTGGCAGCTCATATACTTTCTATCTTCTTTCTTCCAAACACAAACTGTAGCAGATGGAGCACCATAGCTGAGTAAAGAAGAAGCATTTTGGAGGTAAGTTATGATTATGTTGGTGAATGAGCATTATAATTTTGGATTAATTTAGTATTGTGTTGAACTGTATGTAATGGGTTGTTTGTATAAACTGCAGAAATTGATAGAAAATTTGAAAATTCGACCTATTGATTCGGTGGAATGGTCGAATCACATACTCTCACAATAGTATTGACTATGAAGATGGTGAATCAAGTACTGTCTAGATTGAGAGCATATTTACTTGGCAAGATCTCTGCCACATTTGTGCAGAATGATGTTGCATAGGGGGTTGAAGAGTTTGCAAGATGACTTACCGTATGCCGATTAACAACGAATATGCACTTGTATATGAAGGATCAATTTAGGGCTGGCTATTTGGTCCGGGTTTTTTGGTTTTACTCGAACCCGGACCGTATAACCCGGATCGAGACCGGACCGGGACCGTATAGTAAACAATCCAATCCAATCTTTGGGCTTAGATTTGAGGTAAAAAAACGTTCGGGACCGGATCGAAAACTGGATAAAGACCGGATAAGAGAGCTCAACACCCAAAATTTAAGGGTAATTTGCATAAACGGTCACAAACCTTTGCACTTAGTACAAAACTTAAACAACTCCTCACCCATTAACACCTTGGGCCACTCAAATCCCCACAAGCTCAATATAAAATCAAGACCGAATTGGGACCGGACCGGGTCAAGACCGGACCGGATCAAAATCGGACTGTATCCAATCCAATCTTTGGTCCTTATATTTTCAAAAAAAACCGGACTGGACTGGATCAATTTGGGCCAATTTAACTGGACCGGACCGTATAGCCACCCCTAGATCAATTCTGTCTAACGATGATGACATTAATATGATGGTGAGATTTATTGCAGATTACAAATTTCCAATTGCCGAGGTGTATGTCGAGACGGAAGATGTTGGGCAGTATTGTGGTGGGGGTTAAACCGAACAAGGTGAAGTATCGGGTGGAGTTTCCGGTTCTAGAGATTTCGGAACTGGATGATGTACCATGACCAAGATATGAGGATCGAGTTGCACCTGGTCCATTGGTTGAACATGATGGACAAGAGTGGCCAGTATGAGGTGAAGAATGAGATTACATAAGGGCACCCAGGCAAGCATCTACACAAGCATATACAATGATCCATATGTGGATAAACCAGGTCCTCCGGACAATAGCGAGGCAAGCGACGTGGAAGAGGAAGATTTAGAATTAGTGAGTAGTTCAAATGGTGAAGATGTGGAAGTTGACGAGGGAGAATTTGAGCCCCCACACCTCACTACACGATGGTGCAACAACATCCTCTCTATGCTCACAACGACGATCCTGAACTCCCTCTCTATACCCATACGGACTCTTGATTCAGGGTTCGTGGTTGGTCAAACATTTGGAGGAAAGCCTCAGGTGGTCGATGCATTGAAAGAAACTACGATGCGAAGGAGCTTTCAATATCGTGTCATCCCTTCGGACACAAAACCAATTCATGTCCGCTGCGAGAACCATGGCGACGGATGCATGTGGCATGTTTGGGAGGAATATGTTGAAAGAAATGGGGCTTTGCTCATTCGTAAGACAGACAACAACCACAAGTGTAGGTCGTCACTAATTTCTCTGGATCACCGACAGTTGAGTGCAAGGAAAGTTGCACAAACAATCAAACATATGATTGAGGCACAACCTGGGATCATCGTGAAGAGTTTTATTGCTGAAGTGAAGAATCAACATGGCTGTACCATCAGGTACAAGAAAGCATGATATGAAAAGCAGAAAGCTATGGCAAAGGTGTATGGCGATTGGGAAGAGTCATTTGCTAACCTACCTCGTTTGATTCTTGCAATGGTTGACAAGAATCCTGGGTTCGTTTTTGTTCCTAGTTACGAAGATTTTGGAGGGGATGCTAAACGCGTTTTTAATCGATTATTTTGGGCATTCAAACCGTGCGTTGATGGTTTTACCCATTGTCTGCCAGTAATCCAAGTTGATGGCACCTTTCTGACCAGCAAATACAAGGGCACTCTACTCATTGTCACTAGTGTTTATGGTGGTAAGTCAACTTTTCCTGCTTGCTTTTGCTATAGCTGAATCGGAGAACAAATTAAATTTGACTTGGTTTTTTTCCCAATTACACACTCGTGTCACTCAATAGAAGGACATTGCCATGCTTTCTGATCGACACCATGGAATTTCACATGAAATGTACAACTTGCCCGAGGAGCTAGGGTGGAAGAGGCGCTGGTGCATACGACATTTCAACAGCAATTACGGGAAGCACTTTGGTCGTACTTTTGAATTGGAGAACGTTCAATTTGGCACGCTGGTAAGAACAAATAAGCTGTTTCAATAACTCAATTGATTGAATGCTTATGTTCCTTTACTAACCCTATTTTTCTTTATTGTAGCTACTACTTTTCAGACTCGAAAGTTTGTAGACAAAATGGAGAAAATAAGGGAGGTTCACCTGAAGGTGTAGATTGTCTACAAACTCATGATTTTCAGAGGTGGATGTATGCCATAATAACAACGAACATGGGTGTGCTTCAATGGTTTTGTGACACCCTAACCCGGTCGGGTACTAATTTTACTAAAATGCCCTTGAAAAATAAAATAACCAAATCTTAAATTGCAGCGGGAAAAATTTCATAATAAAATACTGAAAACACACTCTTGTAGTTCAAAGCAAAGCCCTAACAAGTGGGTAAACTCAATACTTAAAATCTTAAAATGATCTCCAGTCTATACTCATAATCATATATGTAAATAACTAATAATCTCTAATGTTGTTGCTACTAAAAACCTTGACTAAGCATCCTCTGTGACGCTTATACTGCCCTCCTCTAGCTGGCTGCCCTCAAACTGGCTGCTCACTTACTGCTCCTCTAGCTCTTCAAACTGGTGAGTGAGATGGGGTCAGTCTACGCCCTTGCGTTTTAAAAATCTAGCACTCGAGTATTTTACTTCAGATACTTAACTTAAACTGGTGGGAGTTGTTTGTACTTCCACTCTTAAAACTCCTAACTCTTAAAAATGTATGGGAGTTACTGTTACTCTCCATTCTTAAAGCTCAAATCTTGACTTAAATACTTGACTGACACGGGGATCCCTCACTAGCTAGTCCGGTTGCCAACTCATACGTATGATAAGCCATCCAGGCTTTCCTTAAACTTAAACTTATCGTGGAAGGCTCTTCTTCCACGATTCTCAAGAGCACAACTGCTGCTCATCTTAAAATATCTCAAGAGCATAACTGCTGCTCTGTCTGAAAGATCTCAATAGCATAACTTCTGCTCTATCTGAAAATCTCAAATGGCAACGGACTGGCGCTAGTGACTAAAAACACTTAAAACGACTTCACTTTCTTCAAGGTGAAGTACTTCTTAAAACAAAATGACTTGTTCTAAACTTTAACAATTACTCATAAATGTAAAGCTTTAAAGCGAACATCACACATTCACTATAAACCACAACTCAAACAAGCACATATCATCAATCATGAGCATAAACAACCATAGCAACATTTCACAAAAATAATGAAAACTCTAATACTTGAAAGAATACGTAAGGCATAGAATTTACCCCCTTTTACACTCACCTCATATCCGTCGAAATCAACTCTGATGTCGCTCTTAACTTTCCATACTGACCTTCATAATAATATCCTCGCTTCCACGATTCCATAGGCGCCGCCGGTTCCTCGTTTGGACGTCAAACGAACAAGTTATGGCCAAAATAAGAATTCTGCCAGATTCCAAAGTACCAGGTACTGAAACTGCAATTTTTTCAGTCAAAACTTTCGAGACCCCGTTCTCCTTCGTTTGACGTCCTAATTCGTTTTCTTCGACATGTTGATGATCCCGGGATCATCCTCTTCGCTGTGATACCCATTAATCGAAGAATAGTTGAAGTCGAATATTTCGGTGTCGCCAACGTAACTTTTCAATGACCCTCCGACGAGTCATATGACGAGCGGGTTTTGGCCACCGTTTGCTTCCCGGAGATGCGTCGGGCACTCTCGCTGTTGTTGGTTTCGTCGCCGGCTGCTCGGCTGCTCTTGGTTGTCACCGGCTTAATGATGGCAATGCGGAATGGTGACCGGCTGGCGTTGCTTACGTCGCGAGCTACTGCTACCGGGCGGAGGAGGGCCGGGCAGCGAAAGAGTCTCGGGGTGCTGGGGGTTTCTATCTTTTCCTTCTTATTTCTTTTTTTTTTCTTTTCTTCTTCCCGCTGCTGCTTTTGCTAATAAAAGGAAGGGGATTTTAATTGCGTTATTATGTGAATTATTAGGGTGAGCGGTTGTGGAGAGGGGAAATTAATGGGGGAAAGTTAATCTGCTAACTTGAAGATTCGTTAGTAGATACTAACTGATATCCAAAATACATGAACTAGTATCCAAGTACTAAAGTATCTAGATAGCACAGACTAGTATTCAAAGTTTGCTAACTGATATCCACCATGAATCAACTATTATCCCAAATTCACGAACTAATATCTAGACAACACAGAATAGTATCCATATAACACATAAGAATATCCAGATAACATATAAGAGTATCCATATTGAATACTAGCTGGTTGATTGTGGATATTAGTTGGTATCTATTATCTGAATACTAGTTTATGATGTTTTGAGTACTAGTCTGTGCTATCTAGATACTCAACAGATTTGGATATTAGTTCATACATTTTGGATATTAATTAGTATATACTAACGAATATTCAAGTTAGCAGAATAACTAGGCTGAAATTAATGGGGAAGAGAGAGAGTCAATGGAGGGGAAGGTTTAGGTGGGGTGGGGTTCTTCATTTTTTTATTATTCTTTTTTAATAACTATTATAATAGTAATAATAATAGTTATTATTATTGCTATTATTAATACTAATCTAGTGATTTAGTTTCTCTTATGAATAATGATATTTTATTGGCCCTATTTATTTTGTTTTGGTTTCTGTTTCTTTCTCCTTGGTGTGAGGTTACTCTTTATAACCTCCCTCTTGTTCTTGCTATCAGCTACTCACTTTTGTTCTTCCAATTTTTCTTGACTGAAATATAAATGTTACTTAACTATGGGGGTTTGGTTTCCTACTTTTCAACAGGGCACAATAAAAACCAATGCTAACTGTCGAGTGGGTTGGAGTCAGAAAGGGACCTGAGGGAATGTTATTCGTCTCTGTGAACTAAGGAATAATTGTGGAACAATAGGAAAATAAGGGAACACTACCTCAACTTCCGCAGGCTCACGGTTAGGAGGCAGCATGCAACACATAACATAATTTGGTACCTCTGCGAAAGCAAGAGCAAATGATTTTCCAATCAATGAAACTACATGCCAAGATCCATATTTAGATATCATCATTTTAATTTAACCGTTCATGTTTTTATATTTATATTACTTGTTTGAAATTATTTTTCTCTCAAATTAGTTTGGTCATTATCTAATAATGTATTGCACTCTCCAACAACTGAAGAGAGTGCTCCAATTATTCAAGAGAAGAACACATTGCATTGTGCTTCTTTTTTCTTTCATGGAATGTTCATCATTTAATTGTATTTATTTGAAACATCCATAATCAATATGAATTGTACATCTCCTTTTATAACTTCTTTTTTTATAAAATGATTCTTTCATCAGATTACCAGAACAAGAGGAAAAGAGGTCCGAACAAGTGCAATAAAGTTGCCAAATTGAAACCTGGAGAAAAACTGAATGTTTTATTCAACATCCGTGTTGTTACTGAGAATCATGAAGAGTTTTCTAGATTTTTGGGGAGGATAGTACGGTGTCCTAGCGTATGTCCTCTAGCAATACCTCGATGGATGAATATTCCAGAAGAAAAGATAGATCACATGTGGGCCATTGTTTAGGTAAAGAACTTTAAGATGGTCTTTATTGTTTGTTTAAATACACTTGTACTATACACTTAAGCCAATTCAAATCAAAACTGTATATTTTGCAGGAAAAATGGCATGTCGATGATGAAGATAAGAAAGCTGTGATTGACTAGATGAGAGGGTCATGGAGAAATGCACGAGCTGATTTTCAGAGAAAATATGTTAAACCATGTAGAAATGTTGAAGAGGCCGTCAAGAATATTCCACCAGAACTTCTGAAAGAAGAATGTGAGTGGCTGGTAAAGGTCTCGTGGTAGCTCCAATCCATCTAGCACCATAAGCCGTTTGTCTTAGTGGCTCTTCAGGACCCCAACTCTCGGCAGGGCACATTGGAGCAAACGTTGGAAGGTGCTCCCAAACCCATAGTTGGAGGATGAACATGGCACCACCCGTCGGGTCCGTACACTTGCAGAGCTCCGCATATATCATTGCAAAATAAGCAGATCCCCAAATTTTTCTCCCAATCTCGTCCCAATCTCCTAAAAGTACTCGGAGCCACATACAATGCATATTTCCCCCAGATTTTTTCGGAAACAAAAATTCTCCAACCAAACAAATCCAGTATATGCGAGCATACCTCTCTATTCTGAGCATCCGTGGCATCCTCGTGCAACGAACCAGCGTTCCTCACTAGCCAATGGATCGATAGCATAGACTTGTGTAGAGGTGGTACATGACAACCTTGTGGTGCTTCCTTGGGGATGTTGATACCTAAATGCTCGCTTATGAATTGGCCCCAACCATTCAATGGTTTCTGTGAACACTCTATTATGGCATCACCATTGATTGGAAGCTCTGTCAGCATGTCCACATCCTTCAACGTAATCGTCATCTCTCCCTCCAGATGGTGGAATGTGTATGTTTCTTTCCTCCACCTTTCCACCGTTGCCGTAAAAAGGTTGTTGTCCATCTTTATCCCCACAAAGATTCGCACCCTCAACAATCCCGCTCTTTCAATGAAGGGCTCGATCCGAACATCCCATTTAGGCAAACGAGATAGCGCCCGATGGGTGATTACAACAAGTTGTTCCTGTAGAAAAAAGGAAAAGATACATGAGGAAATGCCTACCGGGTCCGCCACCCAAATACTTTCAGACCGATGGTAAGGTTGCTCATCCAACAAATCGGTTTCTCGCGGTCCTCCTTGAATGTATAATCTAGGATCGTAAATATTCGGGTCCATCTCGTCAATTTTGAGGGATAAAGTTACCAAACTAGGAAAAAAAATATGATGTGGCAGATCGGGTTTAGTCGCAACCATATAGTATACTTTTTTCTTCAAGAGTGGTGGAAGGAAGGGAGGAAGAAAAGTGGAGTGGTGTGAGTTTTGGTGGAATGAGGGGAGGGGCAGTGCAGTCAAAATCGCGCATTAAAACTTAAAAACTTACGTTTTTACGTATCCAGGCCACCAAAACGTTTCAGTTTCTACCTAAAGTCGCTTAGTCACAAAAACTGGTAAAAACATGGGTAAAATCGGTAAAATCGCTTAAAATCGGTAAAATCGCGATTCTGAAGCGTTTTTATACGATTTTGATAATCTCATAAAAATGTGCTAATTGGCCCAAAATGATGTAATTTTGGAGACATATAAGCAAAAATAAAAAAAAGGAAAACATGATTCATCACTCATTCTACAACTAGTATCGAGATAGGGGCTTCACATTAGGTTGAAAAGACACCTAATGGTGTTCTCAACATCCGCTGACCATTTATCAGTCTTCTCCCTTAATCTTCACATGTGGCTCTTACCTGGGTTACGATAAAATTTTATGGGTAATTGATCGTATGTAATTCTGTAAACTCAAACCAGCGTATGAGAATTTGGATTCTCAAACTCGTTTACGGGTTACGATCTACGTTTATGAGCTTATTATTAAGATGTTATGAGTTTTCTTTACTTTTGAGTCAACACAAATTAGTTTATGTGTTAGATATAGGAATGGCAATTGGGCAGGTCCGGGGCGGGTATCTCGATACCCATACCCGCCCCATGGCAGGTCGGGTACAGGTCGGGTAATTTATCACGGGGCGCGGGTCGGGGCAGGTCGACCCATTGGGTATGTAATTTGTGTGAAAAATATTAGAAATATTCATTCTTTTCATTGAAAGACCAAGAAAGAAACCATAATATGATAAAATGTAGTTAAATTATTGAAGAAATTGAGGTTTTTACTTATTTACAACTTTATTATAGCTAAAATATAATGTAATAAAAGGGAAATCTTAAGTAATTTAACTAAGATTATATGTAATTTGCACAAGAACGGGTCGAGAATGGTGCGGGTCAGGGCAGGTTGGGTCGATGAGACTACCCATGCCCGCCCCGCCCCGCCTACGGGGCGGGTCGGACCCGCCCCAAAACAGGTCAAACAGGTCGGGTAAATCGGGTCAGGTCGAAATTGCCATCCCTAGTGAGATATTAAATTTTAATTATGAATTTCATGTAGTTATTCACTTATCTAAAATCTACACACTCACCTTTTACATAGTATATGTTGTACTTAACATATTTTAGCTATTTTAGAGGGTGCGTAAAAAACTTACGTTTTTACGCTTTGATTCTACGTTTTACGATTTTATCCACTTTCCGCTTCTAGGTAGAATCGTGCTTTTAACTGCATTGGGGAGGGGTATTTATAGGTTCCGTGGGAGGTAGTGGATCGAAGGTAGGAAACTCGAAGCAGTGAATCGAGTCCTCTGCCATCGATCCGCGTCACATGTGCATCGAGGTTGTGTCAATCGGACGCCGTAGGACGCGTTTATGGCACTCGATCCGCGTCACCCCTAATTCACGGCAGAGGGAATCAAATGGACTGGATCGCTTCTCGAACACTCGATCTAGGGTGGAGCGCGTCCTATGTCATCCATTATGCAGTGGGAAATCCCAGAAAATAGAATGAGGAAGGAACTAAAACGTCGTGGTTGAAACGATACCGTTCAGAAGGTTATGCTTCCTCGCTACTATGGGGCATGGTAAAGGAAACCGTACCGGAAGTCATACCGGACTCATCTGTGGTATGCTATTTCGTGGTATGACCGTGGTTCAACCGTTTGTGTACCGATCAAAATATCGTTTTTTGTAATTAAAAAAATATTTTTTTGTTAAAAAACCGGACCGGCAGATTCAGCATAACGTTTCGGAGTAATACCGGTAGAAAACCGGAATATACCGGACAACAAACCTAAATATAACAATCTCTACAGCTGCTCTATCACAGATAACTAGAAACTGGAGCAACCCTTATACTCGAAAACCAGGAAATGCCCATCTATCAATGAGTGAAATTCTGCAAAATCTTGCCAACCATTCATAAAGATCTAAACCAGACCCCAAATTCATCCCTCACTAGACCCACCGACCAGCTTAGCCCATTTGGGACCTTCAGAATTGTAGAGTTCGTCAAACCCTCCACGCAAATTGTGACGAACCTCGAAGGAATCAACTGCGAAACGTAGCATGCATGTTGAAAATGAAAGATCTAAAACCCAAAAGCCAGCTTCCAGTTTTGGCAAGTGGGTAAGAAATGGGGAGGGAGAGATTTGTGCTTACGAGCTTCTTGTCGCGAACGGTTTCCCGGAGAATGATTTTGAAGAAACGAGCTTCTTGTCTTCTTGAGCAGCAGGGGAGGGCACTCGAGCAGGCGGTGTGGCTGAGGAGGAGAGAAGAGGAGCGGCAGAGTGGATCAGGGATCGACGCCAATCGCCAGGGAGTAGAGCGACGGTCGCGGGTTTCCTCTTTGCTTTCTCCGATCGTGCGTCGCGGGTCGGGGGTCGCCGGTCGCAGGTTGCAGTCGCCAGAGGAGAAGAGGAGGACGGCAGGCGGGGTTGGAGAAAGAAAACGACGAAAGGAAAGGGCTCCCAGATGGTCAAATTAGGGTTTTTGGATTTTTTTAGTTTTTGGCCAATGGCCGATTTTTTTTTTTTTTAATTTTAAGTTAGAGAACGGTGACGTTTCCTTCCAGTGACCCTATCGCCGGTTAGACCACAGCCGGGCAGTATTTTCGTTTATACCAGTTAAGCCAAAAAAACGGCCGGACTATATTATGATGCCAACCAGCCTACCGTATCGTGCTTTGTCCTGTTTCCGGTTTCCGATTTTCCGGTTGAACCAGCCGGTACGATCCGTTTCCTGGTCCATGCTATGGGGTCCTTCCGCCGCTCGTTTCTTGTCGTTGTTTTTGGCTTCTTATTTATCTGCCTTCAAAATTTTCGGAAAGCCAAAAAGGAAAATATTCGCATAGGGAGAATTTGGAAATGAAGCCATTGGAGGTGCTTCGTCCTCCACTTCTCTCCACAACTTCCACTACCTTCCGAAGCCGCTCTCCGGCGAATGTCTTCCTTCGTTGTTCCCGATTCCGCCCATCGTGCTGCTCCATTCCACCGGAGACAGTTCGGTATCTTTCTCCCCTAATTTTTTTTGTTAGCGGTATCGATTCCTGTATCACAGTTTGCAATGAACAAGGAACAATTTGTTCTACTCCAGGTGAATGCGGATGCGCTGCGATCTGAGTACAAGCCTGGATTAGTTGACGATTTGTTTCTGGATGTGTTCAGAAGCAAAATGGCGAAGGTGAGCACACTGAACTTAGGTAAAAAAAACCCAGTCAATTGAAATGAATTGGGGCCTTTTTTGACTGGTTACTGAAACAGGAGGTAGGATGGGACTCGGAGAAGCCTGGATACGAGGGTCTGATTGAAGTTGCCAATCGTCTAATGTTGACTGGCAGAAGGAGCTCTTATACTAGAGATGCAGCTGTACGTTTGATTTTTTTGGTTGCAGTGTGGAATTAAGCTAGGTAGAGAGATGATGGGATGCCCATTGAAGCTCTGTTGACTGTTGTGGAACTTCTATTTTTGGTTTGACAGGTTAGGATACTGGTGTCTCTGTTTCCTCCATTTTTGTTGGAGCTCTACAAATTACTCATCTCACCTTTAGCAGGAGGCAAAGTTGCTGCCATTATGGTTGGTGAGTGTTGGGCCTACTTTGAATTCGACAGTCACTTCCCTTCTAAAAATTGACAATACTTGTGGCCTTCTGAAGCAAGGGTGACACAGGTAACATGCCAGTGGTTGATGGGGAAATGCACGGTGAATTCAGTTGATCTTCCTGGTGGGAAATCCTGGGAGAGTGGGGTAATTAAGCTTAAGCACCTGAAATTCCAATTTGCGTTCTAAACCTTCTGTCTTGAGTCCTGCATTTGCACTTGTCTTTGCTATATAGGTTTTGGTGGAAAGATGCAAGTATTTGGAAGAAAGCAAGTGTATTGGCATTTGTGTCAATACCTGCAAGCTTCCAACTCAGGTATATGTCCGCTGGGCTTCCATCTCCATGGCTGTTCTTTGCAGCTTCAGCTTGTTTACTTTTGTGATCGTGTCATTTTTGTCTAGACTTTCTTCAACAACTACATGGGAGTCCCTTTACTGATGGAGCCAAACTTCACTGATTATAGCTGTCAGGTAATCCATCTCTTGTGATTTTTCATGCTGAGAACACATTATGGTTTGCTTTCCAGTCATGAACTTTGGAGTCCAAGAAAGGGAAAGTTCACTCTTTTCTCGTTCCCAATTCTGATTTTGTGTTATATATAGTTCAAATTTGGCGTCCCGGCGCCGTTGCCAGAAGATGATAGTGCTCTGAAGGAGCCGTGCCTAGAGATATGCCCTGCTGCAAGTAGTAGAAGAAGGCAAGTTTCTCAGGGGGATAACACAGGGCAATGCCCCAAGGCGTAGCGTATAATATTTCTCTAACTGCTCCTTCCATTTCGCACTGTGGGAGATGTGTGGAATAGAGCACGGCTGACGATGTATTTGTCGGGCTTTCAGATGTGATTTGGTCTGGAACACAATGCCCTCGAACCTGAACCGTTTACATAGCCCAAAGAGAATGCAGGGTTGTAGTGGTGCGTTTAT